AGATCTCATTACTGGCTACTGAAGAAAAATATACTGATATACTAACTTTCATTGCAAGAAAGCATCCAAATCGGCTCAAATTTCGAAGCTCTTGTTGAAATTTCATTTGACCACATTGTATGGCGTGTCGTATTTGCCGTTGCACGTGAGCGCGAGCTTTAATTTGATCGAGAAGGAAAATTCCACGCTGAGAAAGCAATTTCTCCCGAGGAAATAACTCCTTTTGACATCGTTACGTTTATACGTTCTCTTGTTGTCTCACGAACTCCCGTAAGTTTATCTGTGACTCTAATAATACAGATAGCATATTTGCTTACAGTTGCCTGAAGAATCCCAAACTTTCGCAGGACGACAGTCGCGAAATCAAATACCACGACGCGGGAGGCACGCACGCGGCCAATTGAAATTGATGAAAAATGACATCGCACCGCGCAGCTTTCTTCCCTCAGACATCGACTGAGCAGTCACGTTCAAGGATACATCATACGCATCCATGACGCCGTAAATAACGATGTGTGTCGAGGATACGGGACCGTTTTAAAGAATAAAAAAGATCGCGGACGAAATCCGCGCTCGCAAAGGAACGAGTAGCGGTTTTAACGATACTCAATCTCCGGATTGGATTGCGTTGCATTTCAAGGCGAGAGGGGGTGGAAGGAAACGATCCTATGGCGAATATCCGGCAGTTCGTTTCCGTCTTTCCGTCACTTATTCGTGAAATATCGCGCCCCGCTCACGAGGCCGGGAGAGTTACGACGCTGTAATATTGAATCTCTCACGTATTACCAGGCTGTCCTGAGCATCGCGGCTATAATAACACACTTAGGCGACGAGCAAATCGATTAACCCGAGCGTGAATAATTCCTCCCACGGCATCCGCGAGTGAATTATTTCACGTGCGTCCCGCTTACGTCGTTGTAATTGGACACGTGTAATGCTCACGGCTCATATTAGACGATTGATCCCGTCGCATCCCCCACGAGCCCACCCCTTCTAGCGCGCCCGCTCTTTACGCAAGCCGACGTGATTATGCCTCTCTCGTGCCTGGAGGGAATTATCATCCTTTGCAGTCCCGTGTCGCGCGCCCACGTTGTGTCGTATTTTCCTTTAGCGGTGCCTACACCGTTGCATATCACGTCGTTGGAAGGTTGCGCGTTAATAAGACTAGATGACACGCACAGTGCTATAATAACAAGGATATTAATAAATAAAGGAGTCTACTTAGGTAACGATCGGGTAACGGTAAACCGGTAAGGAGCGTACAGAAGGGTTGTCGTGCAGAAATAAAGTCGCGGTGTGTGAGTGTATCATCATCGCGCGCGGACTCGCATTCATTCACAAGAGGCGCGCTAAGAACATCGCGGAGCTGAAACCCGACCGAGTGTTGGTGCAAAATTAAAATGAGTCCGAGAGTCCTTGAGGTGGCGTGCGAAACACAAGAGTCGCCGAAGCGCGGAGAAGCCGGATAAATAAACGGAGCGCGGCTTAACTTGGTGCGGCGTTAATTCAAGGCGTTAATTAATCACGAGGAAGCGATGAAAGCCGACGCTTCTCTGAGGAGCGTGTCCCCTGCGCCGTCCGATAAAGCGTCGGGCCCGATAAGCTCGTGAATTAAGAACTCCCGTGGTAGCCGAGATTTATCGATACACGATGAATCGAATAATGGCGCGATCGGCAGTAGGGAACGCGCGAGCCAAGGAACGCGATTAGTCTCGCTCTCCCGCACGGTCGTTCCAAGTTGAAACGAGAATCCATCACGCCGACATATTGGATTTGAGAGAGGATCGAAAGCTCGTTTCCTGCAGGCGCATACTATCCGTCCACGCGCGCATATTCCTCCATATGCCGCAATATGCCTGGCAAGAATATTCTTACCGTATCAACACGATACCGTCGATTGAATAATTTTCCCCCGAAAATCGTCTCCATCGTAAATTACAGCCGTTACTACGACACCGGCGAAGTAAAGCTCCGTGGAAAAGATGTATTTGACGGAAACCTAGAGCCGTGTATGAAATAAAGCTCGCATAAAATCGTTTAAAACGCCACGGCGAGGCACACATTTGTAAACGCGATACCACATACGCGTAGGGGAAAACGTCCAGTAGTCGGCATTCTACGTGTTTTTGGCGCTCTTGTGGATATTGTCGGAAGTATTAAAGTTTATGGAAATTTACAAAAAAAAAACAAATAGATAAACATAAAATAATTGATAAATATAATCAGTAAATAATTAAAAAACACAAAACTTAAAAAATAATTAAAAAACTTTACACACTTTGATATTTGATGGGATCTGAGCAAGGGCGCCGGGAACTGGTGAATGCTGCAACGAGTGCCGACTACTGGGCGTTTTCCCTTATATACGGAAAACCCTATATACTGAAACAGGCTGCACAGAAGAGTGAGCGACCATACTTTCGACTTATCGCAATTCACCGATGCTGGGAGAGCCAGTGTTCTATACGAACAGCTATATCAGCATGCCAGGCCGCTTATCTCTTTCTCTTTCCTTCCATTCGCCGAAACGTGTATCTTCATTTTTCAAGAACTTTGCATGCGATATCGAGCCATCCCTGACTAGTCACTGAAAGCTCTTGAATTTCGTGCCTTCCGTACAATCCACTACTGCTGCTGCTGCTGCTGCTGCTGCTGCTGTTGCTGTTGCTGCTGTTTCTACCGTAGAAGCACGTGAACTTTGAACAACAAGAACATCGTAGAGTCTGTGCGCAACTTGAACTTCGCAGTCTCAGGATATCGGACCAGTACTTGTTGCAAATTCGAATAAGTCCGACCGATGTTCTGGCAACTTGCACATCCGCGCGCGCATGAATATCTCCCGGGAGTGTGAGTGGCATTTGATATGACATAATCGATAAGAGCACAGTGTCATTTTATACGACGGCGGCAGAAAAGGGTACGTTTCCGAGCAAGGTTTCCGTGTTAATAAATTCAAAAGTCGGGACGCGTCGCGTGAGCGAAGATCGGTGAAAGTGGCTCGTGACCGCGAGGGCAATTATCGTTAATCCAAAATGCGGGGTGCCGCGAAATAAACAGCAAAGTGTAAAAAGCACCAGCTGCTCTTCTCTGTCCTCTGTGCTCCTCCTCGTTCCTCGCTTCGGTCTCTCTGTCTGTCTCTCCTTTTCTCTTCCTCGTCGCCAGCGCGCAACCTCATGCAAATTCAAATGGCTCGCTCTCTCCATCGCGATATGACGACCAACAGAGAAACGGGCGATCTCGACGTTTCTCAACGTCCTCTCGACCGCACTCCATCTACAAACGACTCATGATGGTCCACTATGTTCCGTCAAAGCATTAAAACGTTAACGAGAATCTAGGACCAACAGTCACGGGCGATAACTCGGTGCACAGCCAGCAAAACCGACAATCCCTATTGAATAAAGTCGAGAAAACACTTGAGCATTCAGCAGAGAAGCTGCTGCTTTGTAACACGTTGTAAAATACGTAAACCTAATTGGATAAAATCATATTATTACCCTGACTTTCATGATTATCACAACGTGTGGCACAATCAATGATGGAAATATTACAATTTTTTAAATTTTATTTTTTTTATTGACTTGATCATTAAATTTCCATCATACAATAATCTAAATTTTTTGTTATATTAGTACAATAAACAATTTGATCGATAGATTCGAAGGAGAATATTCCACCAAATATACATATCGATGATATCTCGAATATTTCTTCCTCTATCCGTTGAACATGAGCGATCAGGCTGAACATTTCAAAATCATATATCATAGATTATGCAATATATAGTCAACATTTAATAAATTAGTCAATGTCTAACGTATTGACTGAGAAACTTCAAGAGCGAAGCAAACAGTGATAAGACAAACGCGTGATTATCAGTGTCGATACAACACCTCAAACATTTCTTCTTCTATTCACTAAACGTAAGTGATGGGGCAAGAACAGCCTCAGGCAGCTATTCACTTCAAAATACCTCATTATAGATCGCACAATATTGCCAAAGTTATTAATCGTAACAAACTTGGACGAAGTGCATTGTTATGTTACTTCCACGTTACAAGTTTGCCGTAGCGTTACATTCAGCTTGCTATACTGCATGTCACGTTCAGCTGGTAATCCTGAGATACGAAGCATACTTCGTATAGCGGTATTAGACTTTAAAACCTGGAACTTACGAAGTTGCGCGACGAATAGTACAAGGAAACTGAGCAAAATACGAAATTACGTAACATGGATTTTTAACGGCAGTCGATAAAAAAAGATGTAAAGAAAAAATCTTATTTTCGCGAGAAAACACTATTTTCTCCACTTGCTATATTTAACTATTCAAATTTCATACGTATATGTAGGTGATATATTTATATTCGTAACAATACAATAATTAAATTATTAATTAAAAAAACTGGGAATGATCATACGAAATATAATAGATGAACTATAGTAGTGACGCTTGCTATCGTATATCTGCTTGTATATTAGATCAAACTAAACAAAAAAGTCCTTTACTGTTTTCCTAATAACTTTGTAGATTTTTAATTATTAATTAAAGAAAATTAGCAGATGGTCGCTCGCGATAATATATTAATGTTCTCTAATTAATAACTAAAAATCTATAAGTTATTAGAAAAAAGGTCGAAAACTTTTTTATTTAGTTTGACCCAATATATAAGCGGTAGATGTCGCAACTACAGCTTATCTACCATATCTTGCGTGATCATCTTCTTTAATTAATAGCTCAATAATTATTGCTTCAGAGACACTGTTTTCTGAGACACTGTATATATATGTATGTATATAAAAGTTGTTCTGAGACACTGTATATATATGTATGTATATAAAAAATGCATTTATCTGATATGACAATACAAAATAAAAACAACATGATAATACAAAGTGGAGCAGTAATCTATTAAGTGTTATTTTATCTACTTTAATTACATATTTACTTAATCCTGCACTTAAGAGAAAACTATATATATAACAGCGGTATAAAATCCAAACAAATAATCTAAGATGTTATAAACGTCTATATTTCTTTGAACTGAATAATTCAGACAATATTGCATTGAACGAATAACTATGAAGTTAACACTTTTGTTTTTAGTTCGTTTGTTGATTGCTTCTCACGGTGAGTAACTTAACAGATAAATTGATTGCCTGTTTATGTAGTTGTCCAATTAAGCACAACTTTACGAATAATAATAAATTTGACGATTTTAGCATTAGAACCTAGGATAATAAGAGGAAGAAAGGCTGAACCAGGCGAAGTCCCGTACCAAGTAAGCCGCTCATAAACCCTCACTCTAATTATTCCGCCTTTAAAATGTCGAAGTAGAGATAATTCTATTGGTCTCAAAAGGGATAAGTCCGTAAATAATTATTAACAGCCCATAGATAATTATTAATAAATAATATAAGATAATTGTCTTCATTTATCGAAAACTGAGTCAATTTAAAAAGTAAGCGATATATGATATAATATCTCTATATATCATCTGTATGCCGTCACAAACTGGATCCATGTTAATCAATATCATTAATCGAAATATTTCTGTATTTTTACAACGAAAGTGTCAGAAAATTAATACGGGAAGATAATAGAATAAAAACATAATCTTCTGAACGACTAATCAACATTTGAAGACGAAAGAGATGTACATACTAACTGACGAGCGAACGTGTCGCGGACGGGCGGCGAAATTTAAATTGTTCTAACAACTAACAGTTGTTTTTGTTTCTTGTTGTACATTCCTAAGTTCCATTAAACTAAGTTCCATTTCTTAATTTCTAAATCTGTGTTCTCTTACTTGGATGGCGGGGGCAAATTAGGTAAATGTGTCGGGAGCGCCACGAAATCGCAATTAAGGACTCGGGCGTGCGCGCGGACGAAGCAACAATATATATCTCGAATTCTCATAAATAAAATTTATTTTTTAGGTGTCTCTGCAAACGATTGCATCGCAACATAATTTCTGTGGTGGTGTTATTCTTAATGAATACTACGTACTGTCCTGCGCTCATTGTATGTTGGAGTGAGTATGAGGACAATGAACACGAACTTCGCGGAAAGATACTCTCTTAAAGTGAATAGTTACTGATATCAGCTATGAATATAGTACTGAGCACTTTCAGTGCAATCAGTAAACTGCAATCAGTGTATATTCACTGTTTTCAGTGATGTTTGACTGATTCGTTTTAAGAGAATAGACTTCAAAAGGTACACCGATATTGAGGTACATGATATTCTTTTCAGAAAAGACGTCAATTTGCTTATGGCAGTTGTGGGAACGGTCGATTTGCGACTACCATACGCAACACATCTTCTCGAGTCTAGCTACGTGCATGAAAAATACAATCGCTCAGACTCATGGATCAACGACATCGCTCTAATTAAGGTAACATTGAGTAGTCGTAAATAACAGATTCATAATTCGCATAAACCGAGCGAATCTGATAACCACGATTCTGCAAGGAACTTATATGGAAGATGTACTTTCAGGTGAAAACTCCATTCGTATTTTCCTTCCTGGTATATCCAGTCGTATTACCGCGACAAGACGAAATCGTTAAAGCCGATTCAACAGCAGTCGTATCGGGATATGGCAGATTACAGGTGAATGCTCTAAGAATTTTACTCTTCTCCAGGGATGTTGACGTTCAATTTCTTTTCTCAGCTCAAACGTTGTCGACAAAATATAATGAACATCATTGCGAATAAACGTTCACCGCAAAATTCCAAAAAGTGAAATCTCGTCGCGTGATTAACAGATGTCATATTTATGCCACTTAAAATTCAAATCACCCTTTCTAATTGTTGTACAAAAACGTGCAAATGCATATTTACTTCACTTACAGGGTGATGAAAAGACCAAAGAATTACACATCGTGAATATCAAGATAGTCGATCAAGATTACTGCAAAGCTGCGTACCAGCAGCGACCGAGTCATCATATCATATACGACACGCAAATCTGTGCGAATGATCCAACCATGAAAAAGGGTTCGTGCAAGGTAAGCTATTCACACAGTGCATCGCCGTCGTTAGTACTGACCGCACGTGCAATTTTACGCCGTCTGACCAGGTACAGTCGTTAACTACTTAGCCCGCACTATTCTTCTCACGCGAAGCGTCTCGACTCGCTGTTGCTCGTTCTAATGACTTCTGAGCACAATATAACACGTGTGTTTCGAGTCGCGCAACGTACTCTAAATGACACTCGGTGCTCCTTAAATATTTATCTAGAGATCGTATCAATTGTTATAATCGACGAACGTAATCTTTTACTTATCAGCAATATTCAAGCGTCCGTATGCCCGATAATTATCATACATCAATCATCACGTCATTGATTATCTAGCATTATTAATAGAACGTATCATCCACTTCCATCATGGTTCTGTAATTTAATTTAATAATTTGCAGCAAGGTGCGCGAGAGAATCGAGCTGAGCGATGCAAACTCGCACGCGCGATAAAGCTCATTATTAAAATAATTAAATTGGTAACAAAGATAACAAACGATAATGAACGATAACAAAGATAACAAGTATATTTTTTTATGTTAATAAAAGATATATGTTTTAGTCAGTCGTGAGAGAAACTTATAAATTAATTGTAGAAAAATATCAGCTGCGAATTGTTTCTTTTCAATTAAATTTTTTAATAATATGAAATCTAGATAATTACTGGAAGACTGTTTATTTTTCAGGGTGATTCCGGCGGGCCTCTGACGGTCGATGGGAAGCTGGTAGGACTCGTCTCGTGGTCAGCAGGTTGTGGCGCCATCAAATATCCTGGGGTATATACACGCGTACCATCGTATATCGATTGGATTTCAAAATACGTCGTGTGATTTAATTAACGGAACGGCTGAAATCAATATTTCATCGAGATACGCGGGAATCGAGTTAACACATGCAAAGCGTATATATATTCGAGTATGAATATGAATGGATATGAAATTTCTTAAAATAGACTCGTGTATATCGTGCGTTATACACCTGCTTGTATCATTTCTGTTATTTTTCTTATTATTTCGCTAGAAAAAAACAGAGAGATCTCATCGTAAATATTGAAATACCACGGAATCCGTACGGACTGTTTAAGCGTATCGATATTTGTAGTGTCCAGTTTTAGCAAACAACGCGGGAATGAGTTTGAAAAACAACAGTCCCGATTGTAAATATTACATTGTATACCGCGCTCGGCGATCTGTGTGACAGGCATATATATATAGCTTAACAAAAAACGAACCAAAAGAGAAAAATAGGTCAATTGGAGGAAATACGTTCAGCCATTTTGCTAAGGTCGATTACGAAATCGTGTCTAGCAGATATTAATAAACGTTTCTTTCAAAAATGAGCGAAACTGCCATATGCATTTGCTTCTTTTTCCTTTCCGTCCGATATTAATTTCTACATTTCGCTCACCTACACACACATATAACCACACGTAGAGCTTTTCAAATATAGCGCATTTAATTTCTTACTAAAATATATACAGAGTGGCCCACATAACCTCTTACAGCTCGATATCTCAGAAATTAAGAAAGATATGAAAAATATTTCTAACCGAAGTTGTAGGATATCGAAGAAAAGAAAATAGTAATATTTATTTGATTTTAGAATGACTGACAATCCCTGTCCAGGCCAACTTTAATTTTTTAAATAAAATTACATGATTTTCTCGATATAAACTGATTTCTTTGGTAATTCTGCGTACGAAAGTACTGGAATAAAATTATTGAAAAGTAAATATTTCTACGTTATTTTACATTTTATCCTGTTACTTTTCTGTATAAAATATGAAATAACTCGTAAATTACTCACTTTTCGACCACTTTATCTTAATAATTTTGTATATAAAATGACCAAAGGAATCAATTTATTTTAAAAATATATTTAAAAAATTAAAGTTGATCTTAATAGGGATTTTCTATGTCATTCTAAGATCAAATAAAATGTCACTGTCCCTTTTTCCTCTCTCGATATCTTACAACTTTACTTGGAAATACTTTTTCATATCTTTCTTAATTTCTGAAATATTAAGAGTAAAAATTATATAGGCTATCCTATATATACATTACAGCACACCCTCTTATTCAATGAAACAATAAGAGAAAGATATGTTGTTTGCGGTTAACTTTTCGCGGTTATCAACGAATATCGATTGTGCTCTCTCTCTCTCTCTCTCTCTCTCTCTCTCTCTCTCTCTCTCTCTCTCTC